AGACTCAGTTGCTGCCATGGAAAGGGTGAGCTCTTGTCACACACTCTAGCTCCTGTCAATTCAGCAGTTCGAAAGCAGGTGACCGCAAGGAGATAAATGGGTACCATGTCAGTGAGCAACTTAATGGGGTTTGTGAAAGGAGTCCCCAACTGGGCATTCTCCCGAGCAATGATATTGTCACTGTTCAGTCCTTCCAGCCTGGAAGGGCTTCAGAGCTCCCAATATGACTGTGGTAGTAGTAATAGTAGTATCCAACAAGATGAAGTTGCCTAGTTGAGTAATGAAATATATGCAAGCACACAACCAAGCTTAGCACCAAGAACTTCATAGTTGGACATCTGTTGCAATACCATATTAGATTTATAATTTGCACTACAGGAAAAGCAAAAATTATGTTTCAGTGTTATTGGGGAAAAACAAGGACATTTGCAACATTTAGAATATAACAATTCAAATACCTGCAACCTGAAGAGGGCATGGCATAGTAGTAATTATATTAGTTCACAATTACAGATGTCAGAGGAGTATAAAAGCAAAAATGTGGATTTGTCCAGGGGAATGATTGTCTAATAATCGAGAATGAGAACAATTTGAAGGGAAGATTGTGTTTCTAAAATTCACATCCAGGCCTATTTGCTATGGGCTATTTTGGTAAGTGATATATTAGCACTGATAAACAAGCAGCAACATTATTTTTATGTTTTCAGGTAATTAGTTTACCTCTTTGCATTCATTTTCAACCAAATACAAAAGTAGGAAAAATAAATCTGGGATTTAAATTATTCTCTTCTGAAAATGATATGGAAGAAATAACAACATTAAAAAAGGATTAGGGAACCAAATTCTGTATCAGAAGAGAGCTGAGACTCATTTGATGCTGTTATCGACAATAGGGAAAAAGTTTGAAAGGAGAAACTGAAACGATAATACTGCATCAAAATAAACAGTGGAGTTTGTTTATTTGATTATTTATATCCAGCCTTTATTATTTGTATAAATAACCCAAGGTGATGATCATAATCAACACAACATTCCTATTTTCTTCACAACAGCAACCCTTTAAGTAAGGTTGGGCTGAGAGGGTGACTGGCCCAAGGTCACCCAGCTGGCTTTTGTAACTAAGGTGGGACTTGAACTCAGAGTCTCTTGCTTTGTAGCCTGGTATCTTAACCCCTAGACTAAACTGGCTCAGTTCAGACTTGTTCAAGGAAAGGGGGAAGGAGATCTGAACTCATCCATTCAATTAAATTTACTCTATATGTCTTCTCAGATAACATGTAGGAGTGTGTGTGTGTGAGTGTGTGTGTGTACACGCACACACACACAAGAACAAGAGATCCTGTAGTACTTTAAAGTCTACCAATGAACAAACCCAGCTTTTTGTGGTCGAAGATCTCATTTTTCTTCCCTGTGCAAAATAACTTCTGCGACAGCATTTTCATTGCAACCACAAGAGTTCATCTGCTTCTGTTCATCTGCTCCTTTCTCATTTATTTTAAAAGATAAATATGATGCCAAGTGCTGACAATTAACAGAGATTACTAAACAAGCATCTTCACAAGCATCTTCAACAAGCTATTAGAAATGAGATATTTCCTAGTTCACCTAACTCAAAGAGTTGTTATGCTGTTGCTTCAGAAAAAGGAACATTTTGACGAATCTATTCTTGGTAGCCATAGCCATCCATGACTCCAATTTTTTATAACTATCTGTGGACACGTAGTTTCATTTATGGAAATAAAACCTATGGAGATGTTAAACAAATCTTGATTTTAAATGCTAAGGTTATAAAATTATCTGACTGGCTGGTAGACAAATTCCTCTGCTATGTGCTTGAGAGATGGACTACAGCAGGGATCTCTAACCTTGGCAACTTTAAGACTTGTGGACTTCAACTCCCAGAATTTCTCAGCCAGCTGGCTGGGAGTTGAAGTCCACAAGTCTTAAAATTGCCAAAGTTGGGGACCCCTGGACTAGAGAACATTCAGTGACTTGGGGGCCTCCACAGATTCTCAGGAAGCTATTCAGAATTCTCAGGAAGTTACCAAAATCAATAGCCAGGTTTGTTGGGCCTTCTAGGACTTACATTGAACAATACTGGAGAAGACACACTTTTCTCTGTTCATTTTTTCAAAGCTGATTGGTATTTTAAGGCAGATTTCACAACTCTAGTTTTGCGTGACAGCAGTTATAACATCCCATTCTGCAACAGTTTGGCCATACTGAGCATGTTTCAGTTTTTTTTCTTTGTGTGATTTCTGCTGGAAACGTTAAAAGAGGAAACAAGGGAGAAGGGCTAGCGAACAACTTTCTCTTTGGCATCATTACACATGAGGACCATTGTGTAAAGTTAATTGATTATGTGCTACTAAGTCATTTTGACTCTCAGCAACTAGATAGATAGATTTCCTCCATGATAATTAATCCCTAATCTGGTCTTTTAGGTATTCGAAAATTGCCACTGTAATTGAGCCCATGATTGGGTTGGTCTCTTCTTTCTTTCTACCTTTCCCAGCATTACAGAGGTCTCAAGAGAGCTGGGTTTCACATAATGTGTCCAAAGTAGTATAATTTGAACCGGGTGGGTTGTGCCTCAAGTGAGAACTTTGGATCGAATTGTTTGATGATCCACTTGTATGAGCAACAGAACCTAATGCCATAGCAAACGCATCATCTGAGAAGGCTCCGAGAGCCACTTTGACCATGTGGACAGCTCATATCTCTAAATGGAACCTCCAGAAGGGAATGGATTTTTTACATATAAAAATAAATCCAAAGATCTGGACTTATTTCCCTTCTAGAAGAATTCAAAAGGCAAAATGATCAGGAGGTACAATGCTACTACTTTAGCCTTACTAAAAATTTACTGTAAGTTCAGGGAAGGAGGGGGAGTATTGCTAATATTACAGAAAAAACAGCAATGGGCTTCTCGTACAAACCTCTAATTATTCTGAAATACTTCCCCCCCCCCCCAGACTTTCCAAGAATATAATGGATTTCCCTTCAATGCCCTTTCATCTTGGTTCAAAACAGGAGTCAGTAAGCAGAGAAGTGACTTTATTTATTCATGGTCTACATTAACATTTATTCAGCTGGCAGCTGTGTACTGAATGAAGCAGAAACCTGAGATCTACCTGCTGGATCTGTAAGCCTACGGATCTTTCAGCAAGCATGTGGCGAATCTTTTAGAATATGGAGCTTAACACATGAGAAGCTTGGGTGTTCGTTGCCAAAGGCAAAGAGCGAGCATTCAGTACCCTAATGACCTCAAGGGAAGACAAGAAACATTTGTGGCAGGCAAAGGACAATTCATTCATTTGTGCAGGTAGGAAGAAGGGTCATTCATCAGCTCCTGTTACTACTATGAGCAGCTACAGAAAAGGTGTTTTATTATATTTCTGCATCCTGAAGTGAACTTCAATAAATATCCATGAAGCTTCTAAGACCACTCTTAATTAGCAAGTTCAATGCAGTAGAGATGAATTTTGCATCAGGGGGATTCCTGGTTTACAACCGTGCCTCCCAGAGCTTATCTACAGAGCAACAGCTATGTGTTTTCCTCCCATCTTTGAGGTAGGACAGTATGCCAACAGAAAAACTTCTCTCTCCACAGCCTATCTTTTATTGCACCTTAGCAATGAGCTGGCAGTGCCTACATACAGTTCAGTGCAAGGTAATTTTAGGACAATTGGTGTGTTTCCCATCAAACATGTGTTGTGTCACCAGCAAAGACAACACCGCATTAGAAACTAGAGGATGTGAAAAGAGGGAAAATTAAAATTGTGCATTACACATGCTAGAAGGGTAATAAAAGCTACCAACACATGCAGAGTCCACCAAACTCTTGCAACCCATCTATTTGGGGAGAGAGGGGGAAATGAGTTGAAATGCCAAATTTCAGGCACTAAAAGGCTGACCAACTGGGCTGATAGAAACCCGGATGCAAATTGTCTATGGAGGTTTTCAGTCATCCAGATCATGGTTGTCCCAAAAGTGTTTTTTCAAGAGGCAACTGGACTTTCTGGTTAACCAGAAAACCCAGTTGCCTCTTGAAAAAGCACTTTTGGGGCAAAGATACAAATTTTTCTGTGATGAAAAAGGCTGGAAACATTGGCCTAGTTGGCCCAGCAAAGGACATGCTCCTGCAGAAGCAAAAGTAAGGAGTCTATAGTTGGTCAGGCCAACTATCTGGAAGAAGTTCAGTTTAACAGATTGTAACAGAAGAAGCCTGACCATACTAACTTCTCAACACAAGATCTGCTTAGAAAACCAACAATTGGCAACTGAAGAATTCATGGCACACTTTGTCCAAGAACCGACTAGAAGGCTAACACTTACAAACTAATAGTTATTTTACATATTTAAAAGGAGATTCTTGATTAATCTAAACTTCTGGCAACTCTTTCTTATAATTCTTGTCCTTGTATATGATAATCTTCTGCTACATGATGTTGTTTTCCAGGTATCCCACAGGTAACCAACAGAATTCCTAGCAAGCATAGATGCTGCTCCAAATAAATCACAGATAGTTACTTTAACTGCTTGCATTAGCAAGAAGAGCCAAGTGGGAGTGACTGAAGTGCACTTCATTCTGGAGAGCAGTACAAACTGTTCATTAACCTAGTCCACACATGGCAATATCGATATATGTTTAATATAAGAATTACATTATATTATATTATTCCTTAAATTCCCCTGAGTTTCAGAAGGATAGATGATGATGACTGTTTTTAGAGGTGATTGCTTTTATTAGCCTGTCACTTGTGGTCCTGTGGATTAGGGATTAATTGGCTGAATTACTCTATATTGAAAATGGAAAGGCAATTTTCTTCAAAAATGCCCAGTGTATGTTATGTTAGCAATCAATAATTTTCTTTAAATTGCCAACAAATGATCATTTTTCATCATTTTGTAAGTTAACTCTTGCTTTGTTAGATATAAAGTTGGATCTAACCTTCCTTGCTTAAACAAGCTTTGTTAAGCATAAACTGTGGACTTACCATATAGATCTTTTGCACTCATTTTGCCAGCACCGTCTCCTTTACCCATGCTGCCACTGGAAAAAGAGAAAGCAGTTAGATGAAACAAGAGCACTTTAATCTGTCTTTGAGAAAATTCACCATTTTTCCCCATTGTGCTTATGACAGGAGTTTCCTATGCGGGAAAACAGGACATAGAATCCTAAGCAAGGTTTGACTGCAAGGTCCTCCATTTTTTCCATATCATGAGATTAAAAAAACAGCATTTTCAATTTTTCCTTTCCCAATTCTCACTCCTCAAACAGATAAATGTAGCAATTTCTCCTAGAGACTGGACAATAAGCTTATCAATTCTCCTCACTTGATGCTGACTTCTTATGCCTCTTATAATTTTCAGGTTTCAAATAGGGCAAAGATTTTGCAACAGCTCTGGCTCTTTGTCACTTACTATGTTACCAACCTTTTTTAAATAATCTTATTATAATGTATTTTCTATTTTTGCTTGTTTTTATTGTACACCGCCTAGAGTCAGAATTTGGAATCAGGCGGTGCCTAAATTGAATACATTAAATTAAATCCCCTGCTGATGACATAATAAAAGAATAAAAGGAAACAAATTGCCATGTTCTTAAGGAGCTGTAATCTCTTAGTGACATAAATCAGCAGCAGGCTGGTTTCAGGCTATACGACTTGCTGTGTCTTTCACTAGATTAGAACTCAAAGTCTCCATCCTGAACCTGAAGCAAAAGAAGTCAAGACATGTCTTCTGCAATTTAAAAACTGAGGACATGAATTAATACATTTAAGTTACAGGAAAGCAGATTGACAATTATAAAAAAAAAAATCCCAAACAGAGGAGTTAACACTGGAACCAATTACTCAGAGAAGCGCTGTATTCCCCTTTAGTAGATGAGTCGAAAGAGAGATTAGGCTGTCCTATGCTATGGATGTTTTAATCTGGATTCCTCCATTGAATTGGGGGGTGGTTGTTGTTGACTATTATTTATCTGTTTGCTGCCATCTCATAGTCAAGTCTACTAAATGGTTCCTTCCAAATCTATGATTCTATATACAAGCACTATGGAGGGGTTTGTGTGTCCAAAGTTAATGGGGATTGCAGTCCTTCCACACAAAAACCAATGCTCCCCACTCTCACACAAATGCTTAGACTTAGAATAACTTTATTGTAACTTTGAATGTACACTAATCGGCATATATTAAAATGAAATGGCCTACAGCTCTCAAAGGGTCACCACCACTTCATGTCACGAGAATGAAACACGTGCCATAAAATCATGATGCAAATACCATGACTCACATAAGTATTTGTGTCAGTTGTCAGAAGCGGGATTTGTCTCTTAAATAATACTCATTTTGACAGATATTTTGTTTGCTAGAAGTCCCGTACTTAATTATAAAATTTTAGAGCAGGGGTCTCCAACCCGAGCCATGGGCCAGGACTGGTCCATGGCCCACTGGGAACCGGTCCATGCAAGCGGCAGGTGAGTGTGAGAAGCTTTATTTGTGTATGTGCGGAATTAGGTTATGCACCCGCAATCATCCCTTACCCACCCACCCCTGCTGCTGCTTGCCGTCACTGCTGCCGGTCCGCGGTCCCAAAAGGTTGGGAACCACTGTTTTAGGGGACAGAAAAACAATTGAGTTGTTCCTATCATTACCCAAAGGGAATCAGAAATGTAAACTGTACATGTTCCAGTGGCCCACCAGAGCAGCGGTCGCCAACCTTTTGGACCTCAGGGACCAGCAAACTCATAATTTTAAATCCCAGGGACCACTAACCGGTTCTGTGGGCGTGGCCTAATTTGTGGGTGTGGCTTGGTGGTCATGTGACTGGCTGGGCATGGCTTGTATGTAAATATTATAAATATTTATATAAATATTGAATTTTTTATTAAAAAAAGAGCAACTTTTACCCAAAATCAGGCAAGCAGGCAGGCAGATTGAGTTGCTCACAGAAGCACAGATTCATTCAGGAATCTATCTATCTGCCATTGGCTAGCTCAGTCTGACACATCAAATTTGCTTGCAAGCAAACTCATAAAATTAACTCACAACACACCATGTATGTAAATATTGATTTTTTTTTATAAAAAAGAGCAACTTTTACCCAAAACCAGGCAAAGCAGGCAGGCAGATTGAGTTGCTCACAGAATCACAGATTCATTCAATGATCTATCTATCTGCCATTGGTTAGCTCAGTCTCTCAAATTTGCTTGCTATGACTCTGCACTGAATAATAGAACCTTCAGTCCTAAGGGAGCTTCGGCTGTGCTTAAAAGCAGGGCCAAAGATCTAAAGACTAGGTAGGTAGCAAGAAATCCAACCATTTCCTGCTTCCTAGCTAATCTAAATCTCCCGGCAAAGCAGAATAGATGATGGTCAGAAAAAGGAAAAATAGAAATTTACGAGGCAAGTTTGCTGGGTAAGGAGAGAGTGGGTGGGGAGGGTTCCCGCGGGCCATGTGGGTGTCGCAGCCTTGTGTTTCTGCACATCCTGGATTAATTGCTTTGGGGGGTGCTCTGGGGGTGAGATTTCTCTGTGGCCCACCAAACTTTTCTCACGGCCCACTAGTGGGCCGCAACCCACTGGTTGGCAACCGCTGCACTAGAGGATTTCATATCCATCCCATCTAACCAGAAATAAGAAAGCAGAATTACTATTTTACCCAAGACACAATTCTACTTTTCAGCATCTGCAAACTTGCCCTCTACATATCCTCCATATACTTTCTATGACAATCCAGATTGCAGAACTGTGAACCTCTCCAGTTGCTTTCTCCTTCACCCACACTTTGTTCCATTTAAACATTAGTTTCCTTACTTTGCAGAGCCAGAGTGGCTGCCTATGGATCCTTTCTGGCTCATACTGCTTCCTGGATATTCACCTGCAAGAGAACAAGATGGATTACTTGAGAGGCTACCCTGCTTACATTGTCATCATTGATTTGCTTATCTATATAACTTTTGTCTCACAAATTACAACAGTGTACAGGGAGTCCTCGACTTGCAACAGTTCATTTAGTGACCGTTCAAAGTTATGATGACCACTGAAAAAAGTGACTTAGGACCATTTTTCACTTATGATCTTTGTAGCAGTCCCATAATCATGTGATCAAAATTCAGATGCTTGGCCACTGGTTCATACTTATGACCGCTTTGGTGTCCCAAGGTCATGTGATCACCTTTTGCCATCTTTTGATAAGCAGTATCAATGGGGAAGCCAGATTCACTTAAAAAGTGGGTTGCTAACTTATCAACTGCAGTGATTCGCTTAACAACCGTGGCAAGAAAGGTCATAAAATGACACTGAAAAAACATCTTGCTTAACAACAATGGCCATTTTGGGCTTAATTTGATTGTAAGTCGAGGGCTACCTGTAATTGCAGGTGGGCTGGCAATGGGATCAGGCTGGTGCTCAGTCTGGACTATAGTCACCATAAAATCTTCTACCCGGGGGTGGGATTCTACCAGTTCAGACCAGTTCTATAGAACTGGTTGTTACGATTCTGCACAGTTCAGAGAACCGGCAATTCGCACGACTGGCCTGAGAGCAGAGCTGAACCTCCCTTAGGACTGAAGCTTCTATTTTTCAGTGCAGACTCAGGCAGCAGATTACAGAAAGGTAGATCTTCGAGTGACTCTGTGATTCTGCCAGCAACTCAATCTGCCTGCCTGCATGGCCTCATTTGGGGTAAAAGTTGCTCTTTTTTTAAATAAAAAAAATCAATATTTACATAAACATTTACAATATTTACATACAAGCCATGCCCAGCCAGTCACATGACCACCAAGCCACACCCACAATTTAGGGCACGCCCACAGAACCCGTTGTTAAGAAATTCGAATCCCACCCCTGCTTCTCCCTTATGGTACCATTATAGCCCTGTTGATGCAAAAGGGAACAGACTGTTCTTTCAAAGAACCAGGGGATTTAAAAGTGGAATGGAAGATGGATTTCTAGGTTCACTGAGAGAACAGAATACTTTATTGGCCAAGTGTGATTGGACCCACAAGGAATTTGTCTTGGTGTAAATACTCTCAGTATACCTAAAAGAAAAAATACATTCGTCAGGAGTCGAGAATCATCAGGTACGACACTTAATAATAGTCATAGGGTACAATAAGCAATCAATCATACCAGGAAACAGTCAATATAAATCGTAAGGATACAAGTGTCAGAGTTACAGTCATACAGTCACAAGTGGGAGGGGATGGGTGATAAGGAGCAATGAGAAGATTAACAGTAATAGTAATGCAGACTTTGTAATAGTTGAACAGGGTTGAGGGAATTATTTGTTTAGCAGAGATTGATGGCTTTCGGGAAAAAACTGTTCTTGTGTCTAGTTGTTCTGGTGTGTAATGCAGTTCACGGATTTAAAGGGCATCATCTATTCCTGTATTCAGAAAAGATTGAGGGGACCATGCTAACAATGAGCCAAGAAGAAAGTGTGGATATTCCTGCAGACTTTCTCCACAACAGCCTTGGGATCTTCTTGGGGATACATCTTTGATTAATCCTCCTCACTGAGTGGATAAGACTGATTGATTTCTGCTTTTAAGGGTCTTCAAAATGTGTCTCTTTGGGCAGTCTTTTTTTTTTTTAAATTGCTGATCATTTTAGTTCATTTTTAGTATCCTTTATTTTAACTAAATACATTTTTATCCTGAGATGGATGCCAAGAGATTAAATAGCCAGTAATGTATCAAATTTAATCCAACCAACCAACTGATCAACCAACCAACCAATAAATATACATTTAAATTAAATACATAAGAGAATAATCAGTTTGAAAGACAAATGGTTGCAGACGAAATGCCAGCTAAAATTAATTTGCTTATTGTACTACATTAAAACTTTCATAGTATTAAAGAAATAAAAACTATACTCTAATCTATAATTTATGCCAAAGTCAGATCTGAAACTACCCCCACCTGCAAAGTACAACTAATGCTATTTTTAGAAGCTTATTAATGAATTCACATTTGAGAAAAAATATTTTACTTCATGTTGGAGTCAGTTGATTATTCCTTTTTTAAAAAACTACCCCAAAAACAATTTTTAAGCCATAAATTTTAAATATGTTTTGAGATGCTGGATATCTTCTAAAGATTAATCAGTTCACAACATGAACGAAAACAGTAACATCTATATACAGTATATATATAAAGGAAAACTTTTGGCATTTCCAAAGAACAAAGCCCCCATTCTTTCTATTTTTAGAATTTCTTTCTGATGAAATAGAAACTATCACTTGCAAATTCTTCAGGATGACTATTCATTAAAAAAAAATGTAAAAATGATCTCTTTATTACAACGAAACCTATTTTTTTAAACATAAATTCCTGATTTACAGTGAGATGGGAGAGCATTGGATTATTTAAAAATCCTCTTTGCTTTTGTTTGTCTGAAACATTCTCATTCTCCTAAGGCTTTATGTTTTATCTTTATCTTTCTTTAACCATGAATCTATTTTGATGAACTATGTCATAGTTCTTCTGAGTCTCCATGTGAGTCTCCATAAGGAGTGGGATTCGACCTTGTTCCCGTGTTCAGCTCGCTCCAAACCAGTTTGGTGCAATGAGGAAGTGCCCCCCCCATTTCCTGTGCTTTATAGGGGCTGCAGTTGAAGGTAACATCACCAAACCAGTTGTAAAACTGGTGGAATCCCACCCCTGGTCTCCATATTCAGAATGTTTACAGCTCTACAGCTTTTCTGTCCCTCCTTCCCTTCCTTTTTAATTCTCTCTATTCTCAGTGAGGGAGAATATTTGCAGCTCAGGGTTGAAATGAGGGGTCCTTGGTGCTCTCTGAACTTGATTGTTTTCTTGCAGACTTTTCATTACCCAAACCAGGTAACATCATCGGTGCTATTAATTTGGGTAATGAAGCGTCTGCAAGAAAACAACCAAGCTCAGAGAGCACCAAGGACACCTCCTCCCTGTTCTTCCCATCAATTTTTATTTTTAAAAATCCTCTTATTTTCTTTCTGACACTTATCTCATTCTGTCATTTCCTGGAGTGAATTAGATCCTCTTTGTTGTTTGAATGGGTCTAAGATAGTGTGTGTTTACTGTTCATTGCATATGATACTTTTATTGGAATGTAGTTAAATAACATATCTCAAGCATTCTTATTAATGGTTGGGGAGGAAGCACGTAATAAATAATTCCCAGAAGAGGTTAATCTTGCCCATCAGCCATGTCAAAAACCTGCCTGACCAGAATAACTACTATTCATAGAACAGGAAACTCTTCAATTTTTTAAAAGCAGCTTTTTAACATTTTTGTTTTTAATTGGAATAGGACACTCTCTGTACTGGTTCATGACATCTTCTGCACAGGCTCTTTGATGGACTATTTTCAAATGGCTATTGGTCATTCTTCAGTCCTCATATCTCTGCCTCATAAGAAATACATGGAGGATATTTCAAAACTCCACTGTAGCAAAACTCTTTAAATTATCTGGCTGAAAATTTGCAGGGTAACATATCACTGCTTTTTTCCCCTTCCCATTCTGCCAAAAATTGAAGCAGACATCATACTATTCCATTACAGTTTATAATCATTTACCAAAACTCAATTCTCAAAATAACACATATGGAATATTGTTAGAATTTGGCATATACATTTTAAAATGCAAACCAAATCTGACATATAAACCAAATCTTGTGTACTTCACATAACCCAATTTATTCATATTTTACATTTTTCTCCTCGGTGTATCTATAAACACAAAGTCACATCATAGTAATAAGTGACAATAAACACATTGAATCAGTTCAGGATTTTATTTATTTTTCTTGGTTTACTCAAAGAGGAGATACTGAACCTGATTTGGTTGCACTGCAATGACTAGCATAGAGACAATTTGAAAAAACAAGATCACTCTTAATACCAAATATGGAATAGGTAAAGCTATTTTTCCCATTAATTACATATATTTGTGAAAGTTGGACAATAAAAAAGCAGATAAAAGAAAAAACTCCTTCAAATTATGAGTTTGGAAATGGGGTAATATGCATAGCTTGGAGAACAAAAATAAACAATCAAGCGTATTTTAGTCTGCATCAATCCAGAAATATGACTAGAATACAAGGCTGTCTTATTCTGGTCATATCAGGTAATCAAATTCTTCAAAAAACCCAATCATGCTTGGAATGGTTGGAGATGCTAAAAACAAACCTAGTAAAGTATATTTTGGATTGATGCCGTCGAGCAAGATACAGGTTTAAACTTGGAAACATTGAAAAAGTTGTAAATCATGAGAAAGACTGGAGGCAGCCAATACATAAAGTCTCTGAAAGTTGGGTGTGAGTGAACAATCAGATGACCAGCAAAAACACTGAATAAACCACAAATGCTTGCTCCCCATACAAATCTTATTGTACAATATTAACAGGGTTTGGTTTAGCATTACTGTAACATATTTGGTTTCCTTTTTGCCTTTCTCTTATAAATCTGTCAATTTGATGTATGGGACACAGTTTCTTCAAACTATAAAAAAGAAGCATAGTCGCTAACATGAATTAGTGAACTAGTTCTTTTACTTTTACAACTGAATTACCTTTCCTACAACAATTCCTTTCAAAGTCACCCTTCTGCAGACATCTCAGTTGGCCACATTGTGGGGCATCCTTACCGTGGGGCATCCTTTGCAAGGAGGGACGTATAGGAAACAAATTGAATCATGCTTGGGGTTGCTTTATTCACACACAATGAGTCTCCAATTTTTGAGTCTCTTCCTATTGGAAAGCATATGAAAGTCATAACTGAAACAAAATATTGTGCAGAAGATTGGCTATAGCTGCCTAATAAATAAACTTGCACATGATATTAAAACCCACACACTGAATGGGAAATGATAAGCAACATGGAGACTTTCTTT